AGAAGTGGTATTGGTTATGTTTTTCAGTAAACAAAAGTGAGTTTCTGGATTTTTATTCGCTGCTGTCTATAATTCTAAAGCAATTTTGGAGGCCTTCATATTGGTAGAAGTAATAAGATTAAATATGACTAAATATCTTTATTTTGCTGCTACGATACCTTTGAGTAAAAACTTTGTTGAAGGAAAACAAAAGAAAAAGTTATTATGGCAGGAAAAAAATAATTCCGGGGTCATAAGGTAATTTGTTGTAGCAGAAATGTGACTGAACAGACAGTGGCACCCTGCCTTGACTATGATGGGTTCCACTCTTCTCTGTTTGAAAATCAGCTCATTGCCTTTTCCCAGGAAACATTGGCTTCCAAATATTATTGGAAACTAATGACAATTGTTTTTTCCCAATATCAAGTTGTCTGGTTCTTAAACCAAACAAAACTATTGCCTCAGGGCTTTGGTCTGGTGGTAAAAGTGCAGCCGTGAGTGTGGATTAGACACGCGTCATGTTTTGAACCTGCCACAGACAAAGGCTCGGTATTTAAGTGGAGAATGGTAGAGGGACAAACCCTTTATCCACCAAGTTTTGAACCGTCCACCACTGGCCTTCCGGAATTCCGCAGTTATCGAAAAGAAAAAAAAACAACTATTTACTCTGTTATCTTCTTCCTTGAGGTAATTGTATGTAGAACTTTAAAAAACAAGTAAATTATGATTGCGGCTTTTCAATCTCAAGTTGTATGCACCAAGCAGAGTTTGTTTTATTAAGTTATCCTGACGCTGGAAGTCACAATGTGATTCATGTTTAGTGATGTAGGCGAATAGCTGTGACAGGTATGTTCTGCTCTTGCACAAAAGAAGCTCGTATTTTCATTTGGAGTCTGATTTTTCCGGCTTCATTTCATGATGTTGGGTTACTGGTGATCCAAGAAGGTTATCCTTCTTATCCGGTCAGCATATTCTGATTGATAAAGGTTATCCCTTTCTAATGTTGGTTAAAGATTTACCAAAAGTCAATATGAAGGGCAAAATGTAGACGTGACTTAATCTAGGTAAAATCGCCAAAGGATTTCTCAAATTCTTTTAGTCTGGGTTATGCTACTTTCTTTGTAGGATTCTCATCTCAGGGAACATCATACTGAAAATTTTGGACCACCTAATGATTTCCCAAGTCTTTTTCTGATTTATGTATTTTTTTCCTATTGTGTGCTCTGGCATGTTTGTTAGTGTTGCGAACTGGTGCAATCGGCTAACCTATTGTCTTTTGCTTGCAGCTTGGAGTGTTTGAAATGTCGCAATCGGGCTTGCAGGCTGTTTCAAACCCAAGTGAAATATTTCTAAGTGAGCAGCAGTCGGATTCTGATTTTCTGGCTGGATTAGCTGTTACTGTAATTATGGATGGATCTCGAGCCTTTCTTATCGAAATTCAGGTATGTGTTATGCAATACTTTGTTTTGGGAATTCTCTAGTCTTTATTAGTTTATGCTCAAGTGGAACCAAGCATTGTGTAGAAGTTTCATTATAGAGAAATATGGAAACCAAGAAGGGGAGTGAAGGGCTGGTGAAATTACCATGTCTAATGGTATAGGGTCTATGGAGGGGTAATGGGGTATAACGAAGATATGGGATGATTTCTATGACAAACATCAGAGTCAAGTGGGCAAATGGAGCTAGAATCAGGTCCCGGAAACAAAGATGGTGCAGTGATAACCCCTTGTGCAACGTCTTTTCTACATTTTTCAATTTCTCTTGCCAAAAGCTATTACAACTGCACAGGTGTACCGATGAGGGGAAGGAAGAGAGCTTTGTAATTTAAGCAGTTTTATTGTTTTTTTTCGACCTAAATATCTCCCTAGCTACTTCCTCGTGAATCTGCTCTTCTAATGTAACATTTTCTCAAATATTTTATCATTTGAATAAATTTCTATATCCATGTAGGCATTATGTGTCGCTGGTTCATCAGTCTCAAGACAAGTAAATGGCGTTCAAGCTGGCAGAGCTGAGATGATAATTTCAGTGAGTATTACTCCTTCAACATTTACATGAGCTCGTAAGGAAATCTTGTAGGTTCTTTTAATAGGGAGCAAGTTGTTGCTTTCGATCTACTGCTGAAACTTGTGGCTCACATGCCAATTCTTGAAGATCGTTGGTATTTCTATATTTTTTTCCCTGAACTGAAGATTGCGAATTAACTGGTTTCCTTACTACTGTACAGAAACCAGTGTAAATTCTTGATAATCATTTATATGTCCTTTTCCTGAAACTGAATAACTCAGATGCATGTGCTATTTTTTTGTTTTTTGGGATCAGATATGCTGAAGATTGCAAATTAACTGGTTTCTTTGCTATTGTATACAGGTTCTTATAAAGCAAGCTGGTCTCAAGCTACAAGAGAATGTAATGATTCTAATGAACATTCCACGAATACTTTCTTCCATTTATGGCTTCTCCTCGGGATGTCTTACCTTATTTTTTTAATTTGATCTTCCTTTTTTTATATTTGGTTTGTCAGTGCATACTTTGTGTTTTCTTTTACAATTTGACATATACTCTAGATCTTTGATGTGGTTCCTATCCTATTTGATTATAGGGTATTTTTCTCAATGTTGTCAGTGGCGTTAGGCTGTCAGAGACTGCTGGTGATCTTGCAGTAGCAGCGGCAATTTGCAGCAGGTATATTGTTCATATGTATTAGTCATCTGTCTTTGCAGGTCAGCACCTATATAGTTTTCTCTCCCAAATCATATTGTTATTTTACACAACTTTCACATACTTTAAAAATTCAAATTCATTTAAATAATCAAACTTAATATTTGATGTGGTGTATTTTCCTGTAACTAACTTTCAAAGTATTTATTTGTTTTACTTCTTGTATAACATAGAAGTCAAATAGACACCTTAAACTCCTTGCTGAGCTAAATAATGTCACATAAAGTGCGATGGAATGAACACCTGATTATCATGGATGTTCTCTGTACATTAATACCAAACTACGTAAAAGACAAAGGAGGGAGTGAATGGACAGAGGAAAGGAAAAGAAAAAGTTTTTTAAAAAAAAGCATGCAGTTTTCTCGATGACATGGAATTGCTTCTTGTGACTTGGAAGATAACCAATGCCCCTATTTAAGTAAAGCAAACCTATGTGTGCCTGGCTTTGCTCTCCAATCTTGAGAAAGAGAAATAGACTAGTGGATTTCTGCATTTATTTATACTACTTTTAATTATTTTTTATATTTCTTTTCAAGTATGTAGATGTTTGTAAGCATGTGCCTTGTGTCCTTTTCAGTTTTTTGGAGTTCCCTCTTCCTGTGGGCATAGCATTCATTGGGGAAATTGGCCTTGGTGGTGAAATTCGTACGGTATGTATACTTACCGGATCCCCCTTCTCTAACTTTCTGTAAACTTCCCAAATTAATTATTTTCTTGTGAAATTTCTGGGATTTGCACCCTGATAACATGGCTTATTCGAATCTGAGGATGCTATCTGGCCTCATACTCCTATAATGCAATTGAGATTAAATAATAGCATCCTCAAATTCGAATAAGCCAGTTGGATTATCAATGGCAGAAACATGATTCTAACTATAAACGTTGCTTGGCTCAACCTTGAAAAGCCAGTTGAAATTTACATGTAACTACCATACCTCTTCTTGTGATTTGCTCCCTTTCCTTTCTTTTTCTTCCTTTTGTTGTTTTATAGTCCTGAGGTGTAAAAAATTGCAGTTTTGTCTTTTATGATGTTTTTTTTTTTCAAATTTTATGAGTGCCTACTTTTATGATCTTCCATTTCCTCGGTTATCAAAAAATAAATACCATAATTCATGCATCCTATCTCACTTTTCCTATTATTTTAATGTCCAGGCTGGCAAAAGCCATGTAGCTTCTTCTTATAAGTGCTGTTGCTTGGAGTTAGTCATTTATGTTGCCTGTTGGTTGAGAAAAAGAATATTATAGCTAACCTCCATCCAGCAGTAGGCTTATGGGTTTTGGAAAGGCATTATGGTTTTCAGTTGGAGATTTTACGCTTAACCATACTTGCACACCATGTACAAGACATGTTCTTTTCCTCTTCCTGTCATTCTGATACACTTCTGTTTGTTCTCCTTGCAAAATCATTAGGTACCAAGAATGGATAAAAGAATAAATACAGTGGCGAAGCTGGGATATAAGAAATGTATTATTCCCAAATCAGCTGAAACATCATTGACAGCGTTAGATCTCGGAGATACTGAGATAGTGGCGTGCAGGAATTTAAAAGAGATGATAAACATTGTGTTCAGAAAACGCTGAGATGGGTTGTAGTGATTTTTTTTTTGTAAATGGTGATGCACTCTACGCAGATGTCAGTGCTGTATATTATCTAGGTTGGACTTTACGCTTTGTGTTTTTAGCTGAGTTCTGTCATTTTGTGCTCAGCACCGGTATATTAACATAGACAGATTGTCTTTACCTTTAATTTACCAGGTAATTATTTCAAGCCCCTTGGCAATCATTCACATCTTGATTGTCATTAGCAAGTGTTTCACTCAGTTTTTTGAATGCGTCGACAGAAACAGAGCCAAATTGGGGGTGGCAGGGGAGTGAAGTAACCCATGTAAAACGAGAAACGTCGATACAAAGCCATTATTGTCAAAAATTAATACTCCGTATACCTTATGATTTTATGAAAGTTGCTTATGTATGAAACTATGAATGACACAAGATCTTTTCTTAGTGGCTAGTGCCATCACCTTTTATTACGTAAACAACATAGCATATAATTTTTAGTAAGCACATTTTTTAATTATGGTTAAATAGCATATAATTTTCTTTTAATTATTAAAATTAAATTAAACAATAGATACTAGTAAGTACATAATGCTTAGAAATTGGAACTATAGTCTAGAGAAAGGTTTATTATACAATCTAGGAAAAATTAGACAAACTAGCAAAATGTAAATTTTTTGTATGTTAGTGTATAATATGCATATAATATATATATATATATATATATAGATTTGGGTAGCGGATAATTATTTTGGCGAGTGGCCAAATGTGTAACTTCAACATATGTCAATTGAAAGGCATCGGCCTAATGGGCCGTTAGGTAAGAGGGTAGTTGAATGAGCTCCTATGCTGGGTCACTCTAATCTTCCTCTGTGTCCAAATTGAACATAACAAAGTCCATGAAACTCCGGCATCCCTGCTACCGGCTCCGGCATCCCTGCTACCGGCTCCGGCGGACATTCCGGCAGCAGTTCCGATGCTTCGGCACCAAATACAGCGGCAGAGTGGTAGTCGAAGCCGAAGATGGCCGTTCCTTCGCCGTCGAAGTCGATGCTCCAACTCTCCAAGCAGACTCCAGAGGCTATGCTCTCCCCCGCCGTGACCTAATCTGTAAAATCTCCCAAATTCTAAAATCACCTCCGTCCCCTTCATCCGATCCATTCCTTGACCTATCCGACTACCTGGACACATTAACCTTAACTCTAACTCCCTCGGAAGCTTCCGAAATCCTCAAAAACCTCAAATCCCCAACCTTAGCTCTTCGTTTCTTCCGATTTTGCCCCTCTGAAATCCCTAAATTTCGCCATGACTGTTTCACTTACAACCGTATACTTCTCATCCTCTCCAAGTCTTCTCTACCGAACCGGCTCGATTGCGTACGCGAAATTATCGATGAAATGGAACGGTCTGGTATAAGTGGAAACATCTCCACCGTTAATCTTCTCATTGGAATATTCGGAGACGGCCAACAAGGGAATGGACTTAATGAGCTGACCAGGTGTTTGGAGTTGGTTAAAAAATGGGATTTGAGGTTGAATTGTTACAGTTATAAGTGTATGTTACAAGCTTATATTAGATTGAGCAATTCAGATAAGGCTTTAGAAGTTTACCAAGAAATGAGGAGGCGTGGCTATAGATTGGATATATTTGCGTACAACATGCTTCTTGATGCTCTTGCTAGGGACCAAAAGGTTTGATCTTTGGCATTATTAACTAAAGTATTCTTTTTGGGAAGAAAAATTATAGTGTAAAAGATATTTGTAGTCTGTCTTTAAAATGTGAAATTGGGATTAATGAAGTACCTATGGTACAAAAACACTAAGTTTGGGGGACATGGTAAACCTTATTGTCTTTGTGGAACACAGATGGCACCTTTTATGAAATATTTTGAAGTGTAGATATCAACGAAACCAGATTGCCTTCACTCCAAATTGGACCACTTCATTTGTTTTTTGTATCTAATTTCTATTACTGTAGTTTTCTTATGAGATTGAACCGAGTTTAATTCCTATACCTAGGTTTCAAATTAATGGTGCAGCTAGGTACACCAAATTCAATGGAAATGAGCTGTCTTAGTTATTAAAAATAGGAAACAGTTATGCAAATGAAGTGCATCCCCTTTACCTCTAAAGGGGTGGCTTAGTAGTCGAGAAACTGGAGTAACAACTTTGCGTACTGAAGTTTGATCTCCGACGAAGGTGACACTAGGTGAATCTTTTCAGTATTCGAAACCTTGGTGTATAGTGTTTCTCGGCTTAGTAGTCGAGAAACTGGAGTAACAACTTTGCGTACGGAAGATCGATCTCCGACAAAGGTGACACTAGGTGAATCTCAGTATTTTAAACCTTGGTGTATAGTGTTTGTCAGTTTCCGTAGTAGTGGGAGATAAGCAAGTACCTGGTGAATTAGTTGAGGTGCACACACGTTGGCTCAACATGACCGATATTAAAAATGAAGGTGTTTTACACTTATTTGACTTTTGAGTTTTGCAAGGTGCACTCATTCAATTAAGATTATTGTTGAAGCGGATAGGAAGAGTTCTAGTCACAGGTGCTATTAGGGGTGTTCGTCGGTCAGTACAGTACAATATTTAGACATTTCGGTACGGTATTTTCGGTATTCGGTTTCTTAAAATGCAATACCAATGCCGTACCTAATTAAATTCGGTATGGTTCGGTTTTTCTCCTTTCGATTTCGGTATATTCGGTTTGGTAACTTCGATTTATTCGGTTCGAATACTAACTAGTGCATAGAGTCATAGACGGTAATATTTTAAATTAACGTACTCAAAAGTACAAAACTAAAAACATTTGTTGACAAAAGTTTTGTCCAAAACTAGCAAATACCAACATAGAGAGAGAAAACTGTACATAAAAGAATAAATTTGATCATTAAAAATGTCTTGTTACTTGCTTAGAGTTAATTGACGAACTTAGAGAATAAAGGGAAGTTAAATTTTAAATTTTTATATTTATGTTATAACTAATAAAATGTTTATTGTGTAATATAATATATATTTCGGTATGGTATCGGTATTTCGGTATTTCATTTTAAAATACCAAATGCCATACCTAATACCAATATTTTTTAAAACTTAAACCAAATACCAAAATATCGAATACCTAATGCCAAAATTTTCGGTTTCGGTACGGTAATTCGGTATTTACCAAATTATGCACAGCCCTAGGTGCTATCATTATTTCTTGGTATGAGAATAATACAAGTATGGTCAGATGTCTTGATATTGAAGTATTTATTGTCTCTAAGATTAAAATACTTAATAAACAGTATACATACATTATCCTACAGAGCTGTTTTGACTGATGAATATGGTTCTGCTTGTCTAATGATTCTAATGTGCAGCGCTTTGCCAGGTTGATCAGGCCTACAAGGTTTTTGAGGACATGAAGAAGTGGCACTGCGAACCAGATGAATATACATATACCATTCTGATCAGAATGACTGGGAAATTAGGGAAGCCTGGCGAATCACTGTCTTTCTTTCAGGAAATGCTGTCGAAGGGCATATCACCGAATTTAATGGCTTATAATACTATGATCGAAGCTCTTGCCAAAGGCCGAATGGTTGATAAGACTATCTTTGTCTTCTCTAAGATGGTGGGGAATAGTTGCCGTCCAAATGAATTTACCTACAGTATTATTTTAAATGTATTGGCTGCAGAAGGGCAACTTGGAAGACTTGATGAAGTTGTGGAAATATCTAAGAGATACATGAATAAACCAATATATGCATATCTTGTTAGAACATTGAGTAAACTAGGCCATGCAAACGAAGCTCACAGGCTCTTTTGCAATATGTGGAGCTTCCATGATGGAGGAGATCGTGATGCTTTCTTATCCATGTTAGAGAGCTTATGCAACAGTAAGAAAGTAACTGAGGCTATTGACTTGCTGAATAAGATGAATGAAAAGGGAGTAAAAACAGATACCTTCATGTATAATACTGTGTGCGCTGCTATTGGGAAATTAAAGCAGATTTCTCATCTTCATGATCTCTATGAGAAGATGAAACTGGATGGCCCTTCACCAGACATATTTACTTATAACATTTTGATCTCTAGCTTTGGTAGAGCAGGACAGGTTGAGGAAGCTCTCAAGATTTTTGAAGAACTTGAGAATAGCAATTGTAAACCTGATATTGTCTCCTATAACTCCTTAATAAATTGTCTGGGGAAGAATGGTGACATTGATGAAGCGCACGTGAAATTCATTGAGATGCAGGAAAAGGGCTTGAATCCTGATGTTGTAACATATAGTACTCTCATTGAATGCTTTGGGAAGACAGAAAAAGTTGAGATGGCATATCGCCTCTTTGATGAAATGCTTGCAGCTGGTTGTTATCCTAACATAGTGACATACAATATCCTACTTGACTGTCTGGAGAGAAGTGGGAGAACTTCAGAAGCTGTTAGTTTATATGCAAAATTGAAAGAACAGGGTTTGACAGCTGATTCAATCACATATACCATCCTTGAACGTTTACAAAGCGGTTCACATAGAACAACTAGAGTTCGCAGACAACATCCAATCACCGGTTGGGTGGTTAGCCCATTAAGGTGATAGGAAACAGGGACGGGATTAAGCTACTCATGGTTGTACGCTTTAATGATTTACCGCTCAGTTGTGCTATCTCCTAGACCAAAGCATGGTGCTAAAGCGACATTAAATTGAATTTATATCGAGGACAAGTTGGCATTTATAACTCTGATGATTATGAATTAAGCTGCTGCCTTGAAGACCGATCAGCTGTAGAAGACATGAATCTTTTGTATGTGGAAGTAGTTCCAAATCTGATCTTTTGGTCTGTATATTGGTGCATATTTACAAAATGCACCTTGGTGAAATGGTTACTTCTACAGTTATTTTAATGTTCAAAATTCTCTTTGGCTGTGGAAACCATTCTAGATGAAACATATAGATGCCTTGCTTTAGAGATTTGAGTGTGGAAGCATGATATTGTACTAACCATCTGTGTTGACAGTTTGGGTGAAAAGTGAATAGAAGACAGTAAGAAGTTGGGCCAAGAGCGAAGCTGCTTATTTCTAGTACAACTAGGACCCTTTCTGGAAATCAACTATTTAACTGAGCTGATCACCCGTCCTACCATGTTTGGGTGAAAGTGAATAGAAGCTGCTTATTTCTAGCAACTAACACATTTTCTGGAAATCATCTATTTTAACTGTCTTCGATGTTGTTGATGTCTGTATTCATACTTTGGGTGCTAGGAAATTTCTTCCACATCAATATACTGCATGGACTTTGGATGCCTGGTGATTGACAACAGATTCTGAATTGTATCCTTGTCCAGATTCCAGATAAGTGATACTAGTATTAGCTTGTAGTGCTGCTTTTACTGCATTTATTTGTAATATTGTAGCGACGGAAACTAATAGTGGAGTTTTATTGGAAAGGGAATAACTTCCTTCAAATTGTTTTCATAATTTGAAGTTCCCAGAATGGAATTCAAGTGAACCTGACTCTAACCTTTTGCTGCCAATCTGTCTATAAGAAACACTAGTTTCTTCAATTGTGAACCTTCCCTCAAATGTCTAAACTCAACCCTGATAGTTTCCTCTTAAAGGTTGATGAAAATGGTCGTTTTATCAGCAATAATTCTCTTGAAAATAAGTGCAATTACCATGCTTATGCATCTATGACTTTCCATAACTTGTCATTGCAATTTTTAGAATAATGCTTCTTGCCAAAAAAATTCAAACTTTAGATTTAGTTATAGAACCCGTTTATCACTATGATTACAGAATATGCTTGCCTTCTTGGAGAATAAACAGCGAGCTGTATGGAAATTTTGTCATTGTGATTGATTGACGTTCTTTTAACTTTGTCTTTAGGTACTGTTTTTTAGAGTCCGGAACTTTTTTGTTGTATTTTTGGACAAAAGTTACCTTAATGAGTGTAAAAAAAAAAAGGTTACTTTTTTATATATAACGCTGAAATACTTCGCGCTATATCTTAACGGTAACTTTTGCTGTTTGATTATAACGCGGAGAATAAACGCGTTATACCTTTTGACAATTTGATTGCCAGGTATAGCGTACAGAAATAAAATAAAACGCTATAGGTATAGCGCATAAAATTAGCGCGCTATACCCCTTATTTTAATCCCCTATGTCNCTGGAAAAAAAGAGTTGTGGGCCCCTCCTATCACACAAAACACTAAGAACGTAGGTCCCACATCGTAGTAGAGCATCGTATTATTGTGGTTTCACTCTTTCGGACTCAAATTTTCAATCAATTTACTTTTCGAAAACACTACATCGAGGTATTTCGATTTATTTTATGTCGAAACTTGTATAATAATACATATTAGTTGATTGAATGTGTTTCCATGTCGTTTTGTGTTTTATTTGCGAAACTAGTATGTTATATTTATCCGGACTTAGATATTAGTATTCTAAAAAAAGTAAAATTGAGAAATAATTTTTTCTGTTAATATCCGGATTCAGTTATTAGTGTTTCCATGTCATTTTGTATTTTATTTGCGAAACTAGTATGTTATCTGTATTTTTGTGAATGTTATGTGATTAAAATGTATTTGTTTATATTTAGTTTAGATTATTTATTAGCGTAGTAAAATGTAGAACCTTTTAGCGTAGTAAACTGTAGAGCCTTTTAGTGTAGTAAAGTGTAGAGTATTTTAGCGTAGAATCCCTGTAGTTTAAGTATCTCTTATACTGGTAGATGAAAATACAAACTTTGTACAATTAAATAATTAAAAATTAAAAATTTAAATTATAAAACAAACACACAAAATTATAAAAATATTGAATTTGACACACATAATTATTCATGATAGTTTGGTGCTAAAATATCGAGCATGGACCCATATGTATATATATACTTTGTACAATTAAATAATTAAAAATTAAGAATATAAATTATAAAACAAACACACAAAATTATGAAAATATTGAATTTGACACACATAATGATTAATGATAGTTTGGTGCTACTGAGTCTTAGATATCGAGTCTGGAACCCATAGGTATATATATTTTGTACAATTAAATAATTAAAAATTAATAATTTAATTATAAAACAAACACATTAAATGGTAAGACAATTGAAATTGACACACATAATTATTCATGATAGTTTGGTGCTACTGGATCTCAAATATCGAGCCTGGAACCTAATAGATATATATACCATGTCCATTTAAATATTGTATAACTCTAAAAAGTATATAACTCAAAAAATTAATTATTTAATTTACAGATTAAACATACAATTAATGTTGTTTAATTTACAGTTGACGACATGGACGTGCCGCCTATACATCCTGGCCCTTACTCTCTTGAGCTATTAGTGCTACAGGACGATCATAGGTCCGCTCATATATGGGACGAAGAGTTACTATCCCAGACTCTCCGCGCTAGGAGAGTGGACGACCTGTGGGATTTTTTAAGGGAAAGAGATCTCCATCCCCGTGTAGTCCAGCACCTGGAGGATACGGGATTCTATAGGATTATTCAGATCGGACGGATGCAGCTCGACTGGCTTTGATCACGGCGTTGATTGAGCGGTGGCGACCGGAGACACACACTTTCCACCTGCCCATTGGTGAGGCTACCATCACACTGCAGGATGTGGAGGTTTTATTGGCCTGCCCGTTGATGGCATGGCCATGTCACTGCCTATTGCTATGAGATCTATATCGCGTGCAGATTATTTGGACATGCTGCAGCTGCTCACGGGTTTCAGGCCTCAGGACGAGACTGCATCGTCGGGGGCCAGTCGGTTGACTTTGACCCCTATTAGACAGTACCTAGAGGTACTCCACCCCGAGATCACCAACGATACAGAGGAGCTACATATTACCCGATATACGAGGTTGTTGTTGCTTCTGCCACCATCCGCATGCAAAATCCATTTTTCAGGGTCATGTCGCATTAACCAACGATAAACTGCCTCGTCTTCTTGCCTGATAGATTCCATATGCCTCCGGAATTTATGCTGTTGGTGGTCTGTTGCTGCCATCCACATCAAATCATGCAGATCCTTATTGGGATATGTCTTCTGGAAATTGGCTTTAAAGTGTCTCACACAGTAACGGTGGTAGGCATAAGGTTCTTGCCATGCAAGCAAGTTTTCCACAGAACTTAAGATACCACCGTGCCGATCAGATATTAGACAAATATCAGAACGCTGTTTGACAATGTGCTCTTTCAAGTGGTTCAAAACAACGTCCACGTCTCTTGGCTTTCATTGGCACAAACAACAAAAGCTAGAGGAAATATATGTCCATTAGCATCTACTGCCACGACTATCAACAACTTGATATTGTAATTTCCATAGACATGAGTGCCGTTTATGGATATTATGGGCTGGCAATGCGAAAAACCATCAATTACTGGTTTAAACGGCCAGAACACGTAATTGAATATATATTCTGGTTTACCTGGACTCCGCTCAGGCTTCCATTCAACAATCGTCCCGGGGTTAAAGTGTTGCAGTGCGGCCATGTACTTGGGCGGAGCTGCAAATGACTTATCCCAGTTACCATAGACTATTTCAAACGCTCGTTTGCGCCCGAGATATGCCTTTCTTTTGGTAATGGTATGGCCATATTCCTGGTGGACTGATGTAATGCACTCTTTGATTTTATACCTTATGGATGCTTCGATGTGTGGAATAAGGACAAAAGAAGTCAAGTTAATATACAAGTTGAAGTGATTCCCGTTGAATGTGTCCATTTCGCATGTGTGAGTGGGAATATATTTACCCACTTTCCACAGACCTGTCTTCTTCTTGCTCGCACGCAACATCCAATGACATGGCCAAAACCACCTGCGACAAACAATCTTGTATACAACCGGACTTGACTCCTATACCGTCATCTCACGACACTCTTTTGCGTTGTACATTTTACAAGCCCTGCTTACACACGCATTATCATGAAAAACAATCCCTTTGCCAGCACCGTTGGTCTAGACTCATCCCACATTGCTGTCTGAATTTCATCAAAATCCCGTGTAAGAGCTTCCACATCCGGCATGCTTGGCAAGTTATCAAGGTAAGGAATCTCCCTTGAATGAAACGACATTTGGGACTCATACACTCTTCGTCTAGGGAGAAGGAGTGAAGCATACTCTCTCGTCAAATCAGGTCCTTCCTTCTCATCCTCCTCATCACCATCCTCACGAGGAAAGGGTGTATAGTCTCCGGATTCATCAGCATTATTGTCGTAATCACTGTTCTCTTTCTCACTTTGTGCATCTGCCAGATCTCGATTTAATACGTCGTCTTCGGGCAATTGAGTGAGTACATGTGGTTCAACTTGCTCGTTTTCACTACACAATCAACAAAATAATAAGTTACTGAAAATTAATAAATACTTTCCATATAGATGTATCACTTCACTTACAAGTCGTAATGTGATGAAATTCCATGATGGACATTTTCATTTAGGTAATGACTCCCGGATGGACCACCATGATCCAACACACCAAAATTATGCTTGGGTTCATAATTTGTAAAATTCATATCCGGCCGGTACCCCCTGTTAAATATATGAGCGTTAATACAAATTCAATACAACAAAAATGTACATCGTAACACAAAGGAAAATTGAAGTTTACCACTCGTCTTGTGAATTATGTAAAGCAGGCGGTGATAAGTTTAAATCAAGGAAAACTCTTTCATCCGGAATCTGTCCGGCAAAAACTGCTCCAGAATAACCATCCGATGACTGGGAGTTGTCCCTACTACGCGCAACCACATTGTTAGGAATGTCTTCGACCTTGACGTACATATCCAACATTTTGATTACACGAAATTCCCGGTATTCATCTGGAGTCCTCAGAAAATTCCTCAAAGTTTCATCATCGTCGATGTTTAACTCCAAGTAAAAAGCAACCCCTTGCGGAGTGACAGAATACGAATATCTTCCGGTTACTTTAAGTATCACTGAACGTTTCCTCACACTCATTTTTTTTGCATAACAACGATATCAATTTATCGTACTCCATTGTAAGTGGTAATTTAACATGACCCTGTGGAGATAAACTGTACCTCACAGAGTTATTCTCCATCACAACCCTATCCCCCCTCCCAAATATAATGAAACTCTTATTCTACGCTCTTCAGACATTATGAAAAAATGCTTGAGAATTTAAGAAGAAGATAAGTTTGAACGGGGGTTAGAATTTTTTTTGAATGGATTTTCCTAAAATCCTAACCCCTTTATATAGGAAATGGCTAGCCCGAGGAGGCTGAATTTTTTGATGTATAACGCTCTTTTAATGTGCGCTATATACATTTGAATTATTGTTATGTCAGTTAACTTATTGGTGGGCCCATAGACAAGTATAGCGCAAGAATATACTGCACTATATATGTATAGCGTTTTAATTCCATGTGCTATACCTGGCGGTCAAGTCGTCAGAGTATAGCGCAGTAAATTCATGCGTTATACCTTAACGGAAAATTTCAGCGTTATACAGAAGCGGATCTAGGATTTCCGGAGGATGAGTGCACTATTACTTTTTTTTAAAAAAATTAAACAAAAAGATTGGTAGGGGATTTTATCCCCTGACCTTAGGCTATTGTAAATAAGAGACCAAAACCAATGCACCACTTGATCTCTTTTGACCATGGGTTCCATCAAGTATACATATCTATTTTCGCTAAATTATATATACATCATATCTATACTTTAACCCGAGGACCACGGGTTCACGTGAACCATATTTTACATGATAGATCCGCCCCTGGTTATATATAGAAAAGTAAATTTTTTTTACACTCGTTAACGTAACACTTGTCCAAAAAAGACAACAAAAAAGTTCCCGACTCCTGTTTTTTTAGCTCGTCGCTCCCTCGTCAGAAGGCTTGTGAGTTGTGAAATAAGTGAGAGTTTTCTCTTCAGACTGTGCACTTATAGTGGAAATTTTGTCTCTGTGATTGATTGATGTTTCTTTTAACTTTGGCTTTAGGCAAAGCTGATGGGACTGCCTTGCTGTTATTTATCTTGCCCATCTCTTTCTCACTGAAAATCTCCTAGATTGTGAAATAGATTATAATTGTTTTTTTTAATCTTTTATCTTTCTAACTGGCAATAATGCTGAACACCTTTCTATCTTGTCAAAATCATTCGAGCGGAGTTTAAGCTCCAATGCTACAAATCTTGTTTTACGATACGAGTTTACTTTCAGGAAATAAAAGAAAACATTACAAGTTTTCTGTATCAGCTGGAGTGGCTATTAAAGTCGGAATTGGTTGTTTGTTTCCTTATATTGTCTCAAGGAATCTCCACTTCATGAGTTAGTTTTTCGAACTGAATTAGACTCAAGATTCATCTTTTGATATGATATTAGAGCCACATCCAAAATCTTCATTTAGTTCAATATTGGTGCTCCGTTTCATCATTTTTATATGATCTTGGCAACCTCTTAACTCATTTTCTAACTTTTGGCGCCTCTGGACTTGATAATAGGGCAATTAAGGAATCTAATCAAAAGCACAAAGATGAAGGATGTCATTGGTTAGTCTCTTTCTTTATTCTAATCTATTTGATGAGTAAATGGAAAAGCGAAAATCACGCAAATTATGGTCATCATTTTTTAATAAAATGCAATAATCATGAGGATAAAATAATGAAAAGTAGGTATCTCTGAGATAGTCCCGACTCTTGCCCAAAATGAAAACGTGAAGTAAAGGGGGTGGTCCACTGGTCCATTTCTGTCGTCTCAGATAAAACTGATAGTCAAAATTTTTTAACAGCTTGGTGAATCTAATATTATTATGGGTCGTTTGGTACGAGATATAAGAATGTATAAGAGTGAAATAAAAATTTAATATCATCTTAATACTCTGTTTGGTTAGCAAATCAGGTATAAGTTATTCTGGTGTTAATTTTAACACTGGGATAACTTATACCTTATAGAAGGTGGGGTAACTAGTACCTGTATAACTTATACCTTCTTAGAAATTATGCAATTGTCACTCTTAATACAACATACAAAACAATGAATAAACAACAATCCCAACATAACTAATCTCAGCATAACTTATACCAACATAACTTATACCGGTATGAATTGTATTCCAACCAAACGAACCCTTAGAGGTTAAAACATACCAGCACCTAGTATTTACAATAGATGTTTGGTAATTAAAAATTAGAGTAAAAATACACATGATTAAGTGGTAAATGTGAATGAAAGAGCGAACAAGTTTTTTATCTTACATGACTGCCTTGAGAAAAGAATCTATTTTCAGTTTATATGCCATTTGGAGCTGACTTAATCACACATTCCCTTCTTGAATTGTTAAAAAGGAAAAAATTGCATAAATGACCTTTTTCAGCAACCATTTAAATCTTTTCTCTTGTTCGTCTAGTGGGCTAAATTTGTTTGTAAAAGAATTATTTTAGCCCACTTGATTAATCGGGACATAATTTAAAGAATGACCTCAAAATTTAAAAAAAGATATAGGATCTTGTTTTATATTTTATTCTAGCTTACTATTTCTAGGAAAATAAAAAGGTTACAAGTTTGGCATCTTAGTTAGAGTAAGACCCTGAAAAAGTCACTTTACTTATTATCTGTTCTTGTCTTCTTGATGTTCTAGACTTTAGAGAATGATCTTAGTTATATTGTCCGCAAAAAAGGAAAGAGAAAAAAGGGTCTAAGTTGCGTTTCATGACCGGGAAAGCAAACTTCTCCCGGGATTGTTCTATCCCCTTTCGCATTGGAATAAGAGGGACTTTTAGAATTTAAAGTTTATGGATTTTTATAGTAACCATAAATTAATACTACAATAATAATTAAGTTTACGGTTAGATATTTATAAATATTTTGTAAAGTTTATAATAATATATATAAATATATATATACAGAGTCTAAGCGTAAGCAACCCTCTAAATTCATCCCTGCTTGGAACTCATAATAGAGCATGTTGGCAAAGGCTAGCTCTATGGGATTTGATTACTGTGATTGGTGTCGCCAGAGTTCAGTCATCAAAAATGGAAACGCAAAAACCATAAAAATCGTGGTCAATTGATTAGTACTTATAGTATTATATTTTGAATATGCAATGATTGAAAATGAGATAAAAAGGAAGAAACTAAGAAAAGAGGGAGTAGCTACTCGTATAAAGGAGTCCAAGCCAAAATAGGACGTTGTCGAGGGCCATGCATGGGCTGTCCATATTAAAAAAAAAAAAAAGAAGAAGAAAAAAACGGGAGTAATTCAAAAATAGCCATACTTATAAGTGATCATTAAAAAATATCCACAATTTTAAAAGTAATTGAAATTTAGTCACTTTTCATGTAAAGATAAATCTGAACGAAAACACCGTTCAAAATCCGAAAAAATACTCCAGTATAATATACTGGAATTCCAGTATAATATACCGGTCCAGCATAAAATACTGTCCAATCTCCAGTATATTGTACTGAAACTTTCCGCGTGTTGGAGTTCCAGCATAATATGCTGGAAGTTCATACACATGTGCACCGATCTCCAGTATATTATGTTGGAACTTTCCGTGTTGCAGCAAAATAGTGGCTATTTTTCAATGACTTCGCAAACGCTGACTATTTTTGATAAATCCGAAAACTGATTAGCCCGTGCTATTTTTAAGAAACAAAAGTGAATTAAATTGGAATTATAGGTGCTGGCCCAATGGTCTAAGCTCTCCCCACACCCGCTTGCTGCATTTTTAGAGTGATATCAAACACAAATCGTAAGATGAGGATATGTTTTGCCTTTGGGTATCTTATGTCAGGACTCAGGACCAACACCAATAATTTATTTCTCCGTACGACCAAGATAAATATAAATAATTTTAAGGAAGAAAGCACGCCGGACACCTTTCAATATGTGAACCTATTGTTTTTTGGTCCGTTCTAAAAAGAATAATTCCTTTTTAAATTTGATAACAATTTAACTTCAACTTACAATTTCATCCTTAACGAGAAACTTTTATAACCACACAAATACTCTGCACTTCTTTTTGACTTGTTTAGGACCACAAATTCCAAAAGTGTTTATTTTATTTTTTCTTAAACTCCGTGCACAGTCAAACATGTTCACATAAATTGAAACCGGAGGGATTACTACTTATTAGGAATATTAAAAAAAATAAAAAAAATACAGAGAGATGGCACGAGAAAAAAACTGCATGTAATTTCACTGATTTATCATGAGATGATAAGATGATAAGGGTCATTTCAAACTCTATATAAAGGACCAAAAAACACATCAAAGTTACGTACCAAAAAAAATAGAGTAACATAAACATATCAACAACATGAAGGTCATTCTCTTCCTCCTCTTTATAGCTAATGGAGCAGCAGCTCCAGCGCCTGTTCCTCAAATCAATTGTTTGAGCTGGCGTATGGCGGTTGAAACCAACAACATCCGTGACTGGAAAACAGTACCCGTTCAATGCAAAAGCTACGTGAGCGAGTACATGACTAGCCAGCAATACCGCGACGATTGTAACGCCGTGGTCATCGCTGCTATTCAGTACGCCAAGACCCTTAACGTTTCCAAAGAAGGCAAGGACCTTTGGGTCTTCAATATAGATGAAACCACGCTCTCTAATGTTCCGTATTATTCTCGTCCTGAAGTCGGCTTTGGGTAAGCAGTTCAATTGAATCCCCTTAGCTGAAAAATTATATTGTCCTCTAAGATAGTGTACACATATGTTGTATACATATAAAACTGTAGCGCTTGACTAATAAAGTGTATATATATATATATATATATATATATATATATATATATATATATATATATCACAAAAA